TATATTTTTATTGGAGTCATAATATAAGGAACTCCCAAAATGGCGTAGGTAATAATTATCCGCAAGCCCCTACTTTAGGGCCCTATATTACAGCCAGTAGAGATCAATACGAGTCAAGCCGGAAGACTCAGGCCTCAAGCCCCAAAACTTCTTAAGGATTTAGGGGTTTAGGTTTAGGATTAAATTCCCCAGTATCCTAGGTGGTTAAGCTTCTTCCTATGGGGATTGTAATACTTATCCCAGGGGAACTAAAGGTTAACCTTTGTATCGGGATTAGAGTACTCCAGAAGGGTGCTTGCTCTACTACGATCTTGGAGTGTAGCTTTCCCGCAGCCTCTTGCCCAAAGGCGCGCAATACCTAAGCTCCCGGCACAGTTGTCCAAGCCGTCGCTAGCGCAAACCGTGATGCTTGCACCTGCATGCGGCAGTTCCCACTCAAAATGTGGAATGCCCCATACTGAAGATATTCTGCTACCTGTTGGGCTTAGGGCTTGTATAGGCACTTGTTGAAGTTCCCCTGTCTCTGACAATAAGATGCGACAAAAGCTCAAGGACACCAGCAGGTCAAGTTGGGAGCAACCAACAAGCTTGGAGGACACGATGCTTAGGCAATAGTTTGGCAGAAGCCCCGGTGCTACAGGGCCGCATGAGGTGCGAGAGTTTCATTCCATTCTGAGGCAAGCCCTATGCCCTCGGCCTAAACCATAGAATAGGATTTTGGGGCCCATTATGTTATATTTACAATAAGGAGCCCCCAAAAACAGTATTGGTAATTATTTCGGACCCTATATTACCCTAAACCTCGCCAGTGACAGTGCGCAGTGTGCAGCGTACTGCCGAAACAAGCCAGAACGCAAACCCGAAAACCTGAATCCGAACGCAAACCCTGCACTCCAAAGCAAACCCTTACAGGTAAAGAAACGCACCAGAGTACACACGGCATATTGTTCACTATATTTCCGCATGGCAACTTAAACTGAGCCTATGCAACCCTTGCTTGGAAACTCCTGTGTCGCCCCTATGCAACCCTTATAAGCCCCTTCAAACCCTCGGAAAATAAAGACCCAACAACACCCCAAGCCTGCATCCCAAACCCCTAAACCCCAGACCCAAAACCCAAACCCAGCAGTTTCGAAAATAGGGGACCCTAATATAGTACCCTAAATAGTAGCATCCTTATTATAAGGACCCCAAATTCAGGTACCCCTAATTTTCAAACCAGCCTTTCAACCCCTCATTTTGGAAGTTCCAGAAGGAATCCTTTACCCCAACCCACACCCAGCAGTTTCAAAAGCTGCCCTGAAGATCCCTTACCGGGACCTGCAAAAAGGGATCCTAAACCCCAACACCCAAACTCAGCCCAGCCCCGTTCCTAAACCCCAAACCTCCTGAGTCCTACACTACACCCTATACTTGGAGGGTCGGAGGACTTAGTAACTGGTTGGTTATCTTGGGGACTTCTAAGTACCAAAACCCCAATTAGGGTCCCGTTTAGGGTACTTATAAGTCTACTTGCTACCTACTTAACTAAGTCCCCCGACCCTCCAAGTACCCCCTAAACTTTCCCTAAACCCTCTAAACCCCAAACGCCGAGCATCCAAAAGCAGCCCCGGCCTGCGATTTGCTGCAACCTTTGGCTGATCTTCGTCAGCTCCGGGCCCACTTCCACGTCCTTCCCGCAAAGGCGTTTAGTGGTTTAGGCTTTAGGATTTAGGGGTGTAGGGATAGTGGTTTAAAGTTTAGTGGTTCAAGGGGGTTTTGTGGTTTTGGGTTAGGGGTTTGGGGCTACTACCAAGGTTTCTGTACTTCGAGGTTCATGGGTAGTTGTAGGTAACGCTTTTAAGTAGGAGCGACGCTGGCAGCAACAGTCACTTCGGTTTTTGGTGGTGGTGGGCGGCTAATTTGTGAGGAAATTTTGGGAGCTTTCGTTCTGCAACAGCAGTGTTACGGGCTCTACTGTAGGGTTTAAAACCCTAAACCCTAAACCCTAAACCGTAAGTTTAGGGTTTCAGGGTTTAGGGCTTCAGGGCCTCAGAGGTTTGGGGGCATGAGTTTAGGGGTTGAAGGAACAACAGAGGAAGCCATGAGCGCTCTTACCTACCTAGCTCCGACTCCCCGACTCCCATATTGATGTCAAGGATGCTGTGAACAGGAACTCTAGATCATTGTTGGGATAGGATTAAAAATGTACATTTTTATTCCTTGTTGGTTCAAGTACCCATAAAAATGTAAAATGTTACCCAACTATGACAACGAACTCATAACCCTTCCACTGCGGATCAAGAAGACATCATCATCTGCATCATCGTCGGCATCGTGTGAGATGACCTACACAGAACTTCAACATAATCGAAACGGGGTGGAGGGTCTTGGGTCGGATGGCTCTACATAGGTATTTGGGACTGGGATTGAAGGGCATGGACGACATAGACTTTAGGGCGGAGAGCTCAGTCTTGCTGGGAGCAAACCAGCTGAATCAAGTCGCGGCAGGAGGTGACCCTCCTCGAAGAGGCACTGCCAGTACGGATGCAAGCCACAGGGCCGCGAGGTGCTCGCGCTGGCCTTGCAGAATGGCTAGGTGGTCCTGCCGCAGTGTCCTGCTCACAGGCGCGGTACTCTCCAAAAGCCGAAGCAGTGTCTCCACGCCGCAGTTGCCATCCGGGACAGTGTGTCGCGCGAGGACACCGGTTAGCGTTGTGGTCGTCATCGCCTCATAACACTACTTCACCAGTCCGAAGGTTCGTCACACCCCAGCTTCATATTCGACAGACAGCCTTTTCAAGACCCTTTTCATCCCTGGATTCCCGTATAGCCTTAAATAATTACCTGTACTATTTTGGGAGTTCCTTCTTATAATTATGGTATAATGGGCACCAAAACCCTATATTATTTATTAAGGCACTATACCGCTATAGTTTCATTCCGGTGACGAATTCGTCCAATAGGCAGGCTTGTGACTTCAGTCATTCGCCATCCTCCGAGTACCCAGAGATTCCAATATCCCTTAATTAAGGAATATGGCTTAACCTATATAGGGCTTCGTATTATGGTTTTAAGCTATTGGGCTCTCTCGGTAGTTTCAACACTAGGTTGGCCCTTAAAATCCTCTGATAATGTTCGTACATAAGGTCGTATTGAGCCCAAGAAGGGAAACACCCCAAAGGTCTACCTAGAACAGTACATGCGACACCGGATGTAGAAGCACAAGTCTCATTGTGGGCGTCGCAGGGCTCATGATTGTGGCAGCGACACTTGGCTTTAAGTCCCCTGATGTACAAACCCCCTTACCTTATTGAGGATCAATCTCAACCATCATTACTAGGATACCCAGTAACCTAAGAATAAAAAGGCCTCTCTTTTTGGTATTGGGTAACTTTATAAGGAACCTAGGACTACAAAAAAGGAATAAGGGCGCTACTGGGCATCCTAGATTACACAGGCACCTTAAGCTTTAAAGGCTAAAGCCTGATTTGATGGACAGAGTGCAAGACCTTGAAGTAAGGTGCTCTACTAATGCAACTGGGTTCCAAAGCCCAAAGCCAACACCGAGATGAGCATTACGTGTGATTTTGGGCGGCTATGATGTTCTACAAGGATCTGATGCGTTCGTCAAGGTTCAGAAAACAAGCTCCGAAACACTCATGGTCGTTGCGCTGCATGCAAACAAAATGGCAATCTTGCTTTCAGGACTTCAAGCAGGTGCTGTTTCAACATCCCGTGGCTTTGGGCATGATGAGTTGTGCTGTGCTACACGCCAGTGTGTGCAATTGCCTTAAACCCAAGCTAGATCCTAATTCCACACCGTCTCCCCTAAACACCCTGAACCCGAAAGTCTGAACCCTCAGCTCAAAGTATGATAACGGGTTTAGGGTATAGGGGTTTAGGGTTTAGGGCTTATAAGCACCTCGTCTCCCTCATCCTCCGGCAGCTCATCCAAGCGACAGTACTCATTGGTGCCCTCGGCATGGAACATGTGGGGTTGTTTGAATTTAGGGTCCCTGTCGGGTCTCTGCTATAAGGGAGGCATACTGTTCTTGGGACCTGAAAAGGGGCCCTTGGGGTTGTGTGGATTTAGGGTTTGAGGGTTTGCGGCTCGCGATTTAAGGCGCTGTCTGCTCCCAATTATGGCTCGTGCTGAAAACCTTGCTGATGTAAACTATGGAGTAACAAATGAAGGGGTGGCTTTGTGGGAACTCGAAGATTCATAACTTGAACGAATCCTGCTTGAAGCTGCCACGCATCACTCTTTGACGTGTCTCGCTCTGTTTACCAACCCCATCGCTTTATACCTGACATACCAACACCAAGACCCAACGTCTTTATCAATCGCTTCTACAATCCAAGCTGATCCCAAGCATTGAAAAAGGAGCTAGCCGCTGATACCGGGCTACGGCAAAACTATATGCTTTCACTGGGTTTCTCCTAACCCAAAACCCCCTAAACCCTAAACCCTACGAACACGAAGGTGCGATACGCAAGAACACCAGCAAGAGAGCCGCCTCGGGGCCCAGGAGTGCGTCGATCAGCTGCGCCGGTGGCCTTCACAGGGGGTTCTTCTAAATGTGGTACCTTAGGGTTTCCTTTAAGGTTTGGGTTAGGGCTTATGTTAGGGGCTTGTTTCTGAAACGCTATTTTAGCAACCGCGCACTTGAGCCAAAAGGTAACGTCAGTGTGAAACAACTGTACATGAGACCCATACCCAAACTATACCCCAAATCCAGTCACGCCTCCCGAGTAAGGATCACGCTTTGCTTTCCCTGCGAGTTCTTTGGGGTATTCCTTCACGCCTTTCCTAAGGCCAGCTCATGCTTTCCAGACCTGACGGTGTAGCCCATTCGACTCAATAGCTTCGTAGCAGTTTGGCCGTCCAAAGGCTTCGTCATGAGGTCCGCCAGCATGTCTTGCGTGTTGACCTTCTTCAGGCGTATTCTTCCTTGATCCACTATCTCCTGTACCCACAGATAGCAAGTATCAATGTGCTTGACCTTTCCCAGCCCTCGTCACGAGCCGATGGATATGCCCGCGCTGGCATCCATAGCTATATTGACAGACAGCTTTATACCCCAGTCCGCCATCATCGCTTGCTCGCCCAAAGCGGTTGAGGCTGTTGATATCAAGCCATAGTATTCTGCTTCTCCAGTGGACAGGGCAATCACAGCTTGCCCCTTGGCTGCTGTCTTCACCGTTGCTTCTCCGAGCTGGATCACGGTTCCAGTCGTGCTTTTCCTAGTCTTGATACACCCAGCATGGTCACTGTCGGACCAAGCATTGATGCTTGTGAAGTGCTCTTGATATGGAATCAACTGCACCAGCCTAGGAGATCCTCGGAGATATCTTGCAGCTCTCTTCAAGAGACCCCAATGGTGTTGTTGAGGTTCTTTCAGCCCTTTCGCCAACTCGCGGACGGTCCTAAGCAAGTCCGGCCTGTCCATAGACAGATAACCTATCCGCATAGCGATAGAACGGTACAGAGCTGCTTCAGCAGTACCAAGTGGAGTCTTGTCCATGTCCTCTTCTTTCACCTTGACCAGTGGAGTGGTCACAGAAACTCCTTTCTCCAGACCCAGCTGTTCCAGAACTAAGTCCACATGTCTTGGGTCGGCTTCCATCTCGATGCCTTCTTGGGTCCACGTCACTAGGCGATTCAAGACAGAGATCTGATGAATCACGCCTGGCAGCTCCGAACCGGGTCTAGCCAGGATGCCCCTTGTCTCAACTGTCCAAACCTTGCCCAGTTCAGCTTCTAGCCACTTGAGCTCTTTGTAGCTTCCAACCACTGTAAAATCATCTCCATGGACGTTGAGTCGCAAAGATTTCTCCTCGTGGAAATACAGGCATGGGTTGCTTCGTCCTTGCTTGAAGCCCAAGCCCTCCAGAGCATCCTTGATGGCTTTCTCCCAATTGGAAGGTGCATCCCTGGTCCCATACAAGGAACGCTTCAGAAGTCCAACCTTGTCTCGTCCCTCTCCAGCTTCTGGTGGAAGCTCCACAAGGAGTCTCCGGCGTACAGGGCTCCAAAAGTGAGCTTTCTTCACATCCAGAAACATAAGACAGACTTCGCCTCCAGACCCAACGGGTGACAGCTTTCCCCGAGTGTTGGGTACACGCTGTGTAGTCGCTAAAGAGAATAGCGCCCGAAGAGAACTGAGTGGCGGCATTGCAGCGAAAAAGTCGCTCCAAGTGGACTGGTCCTCTGGTTGTTGCGGTCCGCGGGCTCTTTTGAGTTCCTGAGCGACAAGCCTGGATCTCAGTTTGTGACGGGCACCATCCCCCTTGTTGATGTCCACCCATCGCGTACCGATCACCTTCTCGTTTGCAGGGCGGGGTATGACTTCCCACACTCCCACCTGCCTGATGACGCTCACTTCCTCTGCCCGGGCTGCTTTAACACCTTCAGCTGGAAGCTCTTTCCCGGTGAGGTCGTCGTAGAAGGTCTCCGCAAGAACCTCTTCCACTAAACCATCAACCAGGTCGCAGGTAGGCTGTTCGACTCCTTCCAGGGATTCAATCCACGCCTTTCGCTCTCCAGCAATAAGCGTCTCAATCATTCCCTCGATGTTTTCAGCCTTGCGCTTAGAGCCTTCAGGCCTCAGCTCGGACCTCTCTGGGTCTCCAGGGTCCTCGCTCTTCCGTTTGCTCGCCGAAGCAGCTTCCGAAGCGGTAACTGCTGGCTTCTTATTCTCTCGCGAAACGGAGACAGGCTCTGCTTTAGAGGGTTTCCTTTTCTCCACTTTCTTTGCTGCTTGCTCTGGTGGCCTGCTAGGTTGGCTGGGTTCGCTCGCCTCTGCACCTCCTGCCTCAGGCCTTTTCTCCTTCTCTGTCGCAGCCTTTCTTTTCTTTTCTTCTGCCTCGTGGACTTTCGTGAAGTACTCGGTCTCGCGCTGAGTCTCTCGCTCTAGGCGGGCTTGGCCCCGAGAGGTGTCCTTCAGCGCCTCTTGGATCCGCTTCCTACACGTCTCGTTGTGGTTGATACCTTGGCGTTCTCTGCCTTCGCGAATGGCGGCACAGGCCTCACAACCCCCAGTATAGCCAAACTGCTCCAGGTCGCTTTGTCGGATGTACATTCTCCGATACGTAGGCAACCGTTCGGCGTCTCCAGGTTTCGGTGGAAGCTCTGCTTGCTCGACCACGGGCTCTATCACGATAGGCTCCGGGAGTCTGTCTGCATCAGCGTTCGTGCTCTTCTCGGGATTAGGCTGCCAGGGAGTTCCTTTCACAGCCTTCAGCATCTCGAGATTGAACTGCTTGTCTGCAGGCTTCCTTCGGATAGACTGCACCACCAGGATACCCGAGGGCGTCCCGATAATCTTCTCCGAACTCGTAAGCCGCAGTCCTAGGTAGACTCCTTCTTGCCATCTGGCATCAAGCTTGCTTTTCGCCCTTCGGCGATAGTCCACGATTTCTCCAAAGCTTGGAAGAGCTACTTGCCAGGTTCGGCCCTTCAGCTTCTGAAACGGAGTCATGCCCTCGCTGTCCTCTTGAGAGAACAAGGTGTGGAGCACCCCTGCGTACTCGATCATCCAAGGGAAGATAACCGAGTCCTTGGGTAGTTCTCCTCCAGCATTTTGCTCCAGGGCATACTTCATCGTGCGCACTTGTCCCTGCACACGTTGCACTGCATTCTCAGCTGTGCCGTTGCTTTGCCCGTGAGAGTCTCCCTTGGGCGACTCTTCCAGAGTCAAGTCCTCTGGAAAACCAGCCTTCACAGCTGCCCCCAATGCCTTGATCGCGTTCTCTTGGTCCGTCTTCAGAACCAAGCGCTTGTACCCCAGCCAATTCAAATCTCTAAGCACCGCCTTTTCAGGATAGGTCGAACCTACCGTCCCTTTAGTTGGCATCAGATGCGAGAAGATGGCCTTTGAGGCACGGTCCCTCAAGACAACTGTTGGCAGGCTCTTTCCCGGTACTCCCTTCTCAGAGAAGTACAGGTAGTCAGCTGATACCACAGGCACTGTGGAGTCTCGGCCCTCGTGGTGGTGCGAGTAGGCTCGCCCCCGTCCAGCTACACATGCTGGGCACCACGATCGGTAAGGGATATGTGTCACCTCGTGCTCAGCAACCATTTGAGGCGTGGGCACAGGCGGCGCTCGAAGTGGCTTCGCACGCTGTGCTTCTTCGCCTCCTGGCTGGGCGGATCCCGAAGCGGGCTCCGCCTGGCGTGGCTCACCATTCCCAAACGGTCGGGCCTCGTCTTCTTCACCGTCAGAGTGGATCGGGAACACCTCCGGCTCCGGAAAGAGGTTGTAGTACTCAGTTGCGGCGCCTGCCGCCCTTCTTTCTTCTCCTCCTTCCTTCTTTTCCTTCCTCTCCTTTCCTTTAACCAAACCACCTAAACCAACCGGGGTTGGGGTCTCAGACACTCCTACCCTACAGGCACTTTCGGCCTTTTTCCTTCCTACCGCGCCAAAATGGCTCTGTTCTGGGTGAAACGAAACGGCTCTACAGCTACGGCTCCTACCTTCAAGGTCTTTTCCCAACAGGTTTTGCAGCGAAGCGCATCCCTCAGGGATGCTTAGCCCTTCCAGGGCCCTTAAAAAGCTCTTTGTTGGCTTGAAGCCTTTGGTAGCCGGGCTTACGCTGTAGGCAGCAGCCGTGGAGGGTGCGAATGCACCGGAAGCACACGGAACGACGCGCGAGGGCTCCCGCGCACCGGGAAGACCAAAGAACTCCCATTCGGGAGGTACAGCGTGGCCTCCTTACCTGCAAAGACCAAGGCGTTGCCACGGTCCATCGCACGACCAGTGGAGAGGAGGCAGCGCTGCACAGCTGCCACGTTGAAGATGCATCTGCACCTGGTGGCCCTCCCATCCGAAGACGGGCCACTCAGAAGCAACTCCGTTGTGCCCAGGTTGGGCAGACTCTCTCGCCGTGGAAAACTTAAGTGGCGAACTCACCTCCTTCAAGGCTGTGGCCCTCCCTTCCTCGAAGAGCTTCTGGTACACCTTGTCTGGCAGCACGTTGTGGCTTGCACCGCTGTCCAGGATCACCTCCATTGAGGGATGCTTCTGGTTCCGGGAAGGTGCCGAAGCGGCCCCATTCCCAGAAGGAAAACACGGTTCCAACCCGGCCCTCCAGGCCGCCTTCTCCGTCGGGTGGGTCCTCTGGACCTCTTCCCCCCAGTGGCACGTGGTCTGCGTCGGAGTCTTCCTCTTCCACCTCGACCTCCACTTCTTCAGGGGCAGATACTTCATCCTCTCCCTCTTCTGGAGAAGACTCTTGGCGTAGGCAGCTGCGGCCTTCGTGGCCTTTCCTCGTCGAGAGGTGCAACTCTCACAGTCGCTGTCCAGCAGCCTGCGCTCGGCAACGACTCCGGGAGCTTCTTCACCAGGGCTCTCCTCAGCCCCTGCCGCTTCGCAAAGCGGTCTGCGCCCTTGTGGGCTTCCACCAGGCGCCTCACCTGGCTCCTGCGGATGATCTTCTCCTTCATCATTCTCTTGGCTTGCGCCTGCAGCGCCCCAGCCAACGCCGCCCCAAGAAGCTTGCTTCGGCCCATCACGGGCCTCCGCCCCGGGCTGTCTTCCGAACCCTGGCCCCAGATCCTCCCTCGGCTCCTTGGTGGGTCCCGAGACGGGGTCCCACCACTGCCCTTCTTGCCGCTCTCCTTTCCACCCTTCTTCTGCTCCCCGGCAACTTGCCGTCGGCTACCCTTGCTGAGTGCTTGGGCTTGGCTCGCCTCCGCGGAGGCTCCCCCGCCGGCTCAGCAGGCCGGTCGGTGCCCTTCACTTCCTTCTTGCCTTTGTAGGTGGTGGCCCAAGCGGCTCCTTCACCACAGGCTTTGCCTTAGGCTTAGCCTCTGGCTTCGCTGCGGCCTTGGCCCTTGCGGTTCCCGAAGCGGGTCCCGCACTGCCGCTCGCAGCTTCCTTCCTCTTCTTCCTGGCCGCTTCCCTGCGGCGCTTGCCTGCACGTTCCCCAGGAGTCTTGGGCTTTTCTCGCCAACTCCTAACGTGCTCCTCCGGGACGTCGTCCCCAGCACCTTCTTGGCGAAGGTTTTCCCTAGCTCGCTTGCTCAAGGGTCTTGCCTCTCGATCGGTGTTCTCCGGCATCAGCGGGTAGGATGCCTTCTTGCCGTCGTCTTTCTTAAGCGGCTTGTTGTACCTCTTCTGCCACTCCTCGTCCAGCGCAACCCTTTCGCGAGCCCTCCCTTCGCGGGAGGCTTGCCTGTGCTTCGCCGCTCGCTGGCGGCTAAGCTCCTTCCTCTTGGCCAGCTTGGCCTTGCGTCCCGAGCGGACGTCAGCCAAGAAGCGTGCCGACGACTTCCAACTCCCAGCGGTAGCCGTCCTGGCAGCCCTCCTCTTAGCCACAAGCTCCTTCAGCTGCCGGGTGACTTCCTCGAGCTGGGCTTCTAGGTTGGCCCTTTCCTCGTCACCTTCGGCACTAGCCAGGGCCCTGTTGAGCTCGGCCTGGCGAGCCTGCAGCTCGGACACCAGGTTGGTCTCGAGGAGCCGCAGCCCAACCCCCGTCATGGAGGAAGTGCCGTCAGCTGCCTTGGCTTTGGCACTTGCTCGTGCCTTGCCCCCTTCTGGCGGGTCTCGAGACGATCCCGCGCCAGAAGCACTGGGGTTGGAACGCCAGGTTCCCCAGTCTTCGTCGTCGCCCTTTGGGCTCTTCTGCTTCTTTTCCTCTTTCTCTTTCTTCGGCTTCGTAGTCCTCCTCCTGCTCGGGCTCCTCGCCGTCCGGTTCTTCTTCTCCGCCTTCGAGTTCGCGGGCGTGCCCGCCCTTGCCTTTCCCGCCGCGGCCCCTAACTTGAGCCTTACCCTTCGGCGGTTTTCCTGCACTACCTCTGCCTCCTGGGGTGGGGTCTTTGGGGTAACCACTAGAACCACCTCCTGCATCCTTGTTCTTCCTTATGTCGATTGGGCTCCTGCAGTCCTTGATGAGATGGCCCACCTTGCCACACTTGTGGCACTTTCGGGTCTCCTTGTCCTTTCCTTTTCCTTTCCCCTTCCCCTTGGCGTAGTCGATATCCATAGGCATTGCGCCGGAGTCATCCACAGTGAATGCCCGGCGGTTCTCGGCGAAAGTCACGATTTCCCTCCGTAGAAGGTCGTACGAGTTGAGCCGTGGAAGGTTGAGCTCCAGGTGTGACTGCAACTCAGCGGGAACCATTCCCAACAACGAAACCATCTTCTGGCGCTCGGTCAGCGCCGTGCAGTCCCGACGGGCAGCATACCTCCGATGCTGGTCCTCCCATCTCTCCACTGCAGCGATCAAGTCGCTCACTTCTGCAACTGGCTTCGTCGACATGAGCTGCCGCAACCACCTAAAGCTCGTGACCATGTCAGTCGGATCCAATCTCCCATGGAGCCGCCGGTACATGTCCAGTCCGGATCCTGCGCTCGAGTTCATCGTGATATCCCCTGGGGTGTCCATAGTCAAAGTACCCAGGGCCACCTCCAGTTGTCGATTGAACTCCTGAACCTTTTCCGGAGTCACTCCTTCCACCAGCTGTTCCCTCAGCCTGGCAACGGCGATTTCCTCATCTTGGGTCCGAGCCCAAGTCAGGATTGCCCGGGTCTCCGGAAACTGGCTCGTGAGCCAAAGCTCCAGCCGGTAGTTCCACTGGCGCCATGAGGCTTCTTCCAGTGTTCCTCCCAATTTCTCAGGTCGGCCAATAGCCTTTGTATCCACCACGGTCCCACGTGGCCTTTGGTTCTGCTCTAGCAATCTCTGGAGTTGTCCCATCTGCTCCTGCTGCGTCTGCAGCAGCCTCATCAGGAGCTGCTCTCCTGTTTGCCCTTCTCCCGCCATTGCTTCTCTTTCCTAGGCAAGTCCCGAACCGGGCCTTACCTTCCAAAGAGTCGCGTGCGTCGCCGTACGACGCCGCCCAGGATTCTCGAAATCCTATCCAGCAATCCCCGCGGGAAGTCCTGAAGCCTAAGCCCCAGATTGTGGAACAACCTTTGGTACTTTCGTACCTTCCGAAACTTGGCTAGCAGCCGAACCCAATTCCTCTGTGCGCGCTCTGGATCGTGTATCCACCTTCTCCCCTCACGAGGTCGTGCCCTTCTACCACAAGCGGCACGCAAGAGAAGTGTAAGCACCATCAACCAGGTGCTCCGCTACCATGAAACGCTTTTTTAGCAACCGCGCACTTGAGCCAAAAGGTAACGTCAGTGTGAAACAACTGTACATGAGACCCATACCCAAACTATACCCCAAATCCAGTCAGTTTCGAACATGCCATACTCAGTAAAGTAACTCTAGGCTATCACGACTCTGCTTGTTAAATTTGATTTTTTGTGGCAGGGGGGGGGGGGGGTAGGCTGCATCATGATCTTGGTTGGAGCTACGTATCTGCTCTTGGGATTTTTCCTGCCATGCCTCTGCTGGTAGCAGCAGTTCCAATGTTCATGTCCATCCTCCTCCGAATTACTCCTCTTAACTTGCTAATCCCCTCCCCCTTTTATTAAAGGACCCCCTAATTATAAAAACACTTTTCCCCCGATCCACCCGGAAGTAGCACCGCCCTTTAAACCCTAATTTGAATTAGGGGGAAGGTTTAGGGTCTATAGATTGAGGGTTTAGGGGGAAGAATTATAATTGCATGAGTCAGCAACTGCTCAATTGAGCCGCATGAAAAGCTTTATTAGCCAAGCCTTTATTGAAGCCTATTTTTTTAATGCGTATTTACGGATTTAGTGTGTATTTGCACGGATTTGTGTGTTTGCACGGATTTAGTGTGTATTTGCACGGATTCAGTGTGTATTTGCACGGATTTAGTATGTATTTGCACGGATTCACGGATTTAGATGTATTTGCACGGATTCCGTGTGTATTTGCACGGATTTGGTGTGTATTTGCACTCACGTCCTGTGTAGTTGCACGAATTTAGTGTGTATTTGCATGGATTTGCACGGATCGTGAGTATTTGCACGCAGTATTTGGTGTCTAATTACAGGGATGTAGTGTGTGTATTTGCACAGATTCCGTGTGTATTTGCACGCATTTACTGTGTGCCTGGTGTGTAGTTAGAGGGATTTAGTGTGTGTGTCTTTACACGGATTTAGTGTGTGTTTGCATGGATTCGGCGTGTATTTGCACGGATTCAGTGTGTATTTGCATGGATTTGGTGTGTATTTGCACGCATTTCGTGTGTATTAGCACGAACTTGGTGTGCATGTGCACGAACTTCGTATGTCTTTGCACGGTTTAATGTGCATTTGCACGGATTTGGTGTGATTTGAAACCCTTATAATAGCGTTTCTTAAGTCTCCAGAGAGCCCAGAGCTTCAGGTCACCCCAAAATCTCGATTCCGGGTGGGGAAAGGGCCCAAATGACACCCCCGGGGATTGAGCCCGCAGCCTTTGCGAGGAGGGCTTTGGAGGCAGACGTTTACCCATTAGGCCATGGCCAGATAGTTCTGGGGCTGGCAGCTGCCTCCGTAGGGGATTTGGGCACGGTCGCAGGCCCAATTCTGGCGGTGTCCCCGTGGGCCCTTTCCCCATCCAGAATCGAAATTTGAAATGACCAAAAACCGCCACGAGCACAACCAAACCCGCCGAAAACCGCGCAAACCCACCAAAACCCTCCCCGGTGCAAGTTCCCAACATCAACAGCAGGTTGCAGAGGTTGAACCAGCAGGTTGCAGAGGTTGAACCAGCAGGTTGCAGAGGTTGAACCAGCAGGTTGCAGAGGTTGAACCAGCAGGTTGCAGAGGTCGAAGCTGCAGGTTGCAGAGGTTGAAGCAACAGGTTGCAGAGGTTGAACCAGCAGGTTGCAGAGAGGTTGAACCAGCAGGTTGCAGAGGTTGAACCAGCAGGTTGCAGAGATTGAAGCAGCAGGTTGCAGAGGTTGAAGCAGCAGGTTGCAGAGGTTGAACCACAGCAGGTTGCAGAGGTTGAACCAGCAGGTTGCAGAGGTTGAACCAGCAGGTTGCAGAGGCAGAGGTTGAACCAGCAGGTTGCAGAGGTTGAAGCAGCAGGTTGCAGAGGTTGAAGCAGTAGGTTGCACAGGTTGAACCAGCAGGTTGCACAGGTTGAACCAGCAGGTTGCAGAGGTTGAACCAGCAGGTTGCAGAGGTTGAACCTGCAGCAGAGGTTGAAGCAGGTTGCAGAGGTTGAAGCAGCAGGTTGCAGAGGTTGAGCAGGTTGCAGAGGTTGAAGCAGGTTGCAGAGGTTGAAGCAGCAGGTTGCAGAAGCAGCAGGTTGAACCAGCAGGTTGCAGAGGTTGAACCAGCAGGTTGCAGAGGCAGAGGTTGAAAGCAGGCAGGTTGAACCTGCAGCAGGTTGAACCTGCAGGTTGCAGCAGGTTGCAGCAGGTTGCAGAGGTTGCACCAGAGGTTGCAGCAGGTTGCACAGGTTGAACCAGCAGGTTGCACAGGTTGAACCAGCAGGTTGCAGAGGTTGAAGCAGCAGGTTGCAGAGGTTGAAGCAGCAGGTTGCAGAGGTTGAACCACAGCAGGTTGCACAGGTTGAACCAGCAGGTTGCAGAGGTTGAACCAGCAGGTTGCAGAGGCAGAGGTTGAAGCAGCAGGTTGCACAGGTTGAACCTGCAGATTGCAGAGGTTGAACCTGCAGGTTGCAGAGGTTGAAGCAGCAGGTTGCAGAGGTTGAACCTGCAGGTTGCAGGGTTGAACCAGCAGGTTGCAGAGGTTGAACCACAGCAAGTTGCAGAGGTTTAACCAGCAGGTTGCAGAGGTTGAACCAGCAATTTGCAGAGGTTGAACCAGCAGGTTGAACCTGCAGGTTGCAGAGGTTGAAGCAGCAGGTTGCAGAGGTTGAACCAGCAGGTTGCAGAGGTTGAACCTGCAGGTTGCAGAGGTTGAAGCTGCAGGTTGCAGAGGTTGAAGCAGCAGGTTGCAGAGGTTGAAGTTGCACAGGTTGAAGCAGCATGAAGCAGCAGGTTGCAGAGGTTGAACCAGCAGGTTGCACAGGTTGAACCAGCAGGTTGCACAGGTTGAACCTGCAGGTTGCAGAGGTTGAAGCAGCAGGTTGCAGAGGTTGAACCTGCAGGTTGCAGAGGTTGAAGCTGCAGGTTGCAGAGGTTGAAGCAGCAGGTTGCAGAGGTTGAACCAGCAGGTTGCACAGGTTGAACCAGCAGGTTGCAGAGGTTGATCCACAGCAAGTTGCAGAGGTTTAACCAGCAGGTTGCAGAGGTTGAACCAGCAATTTGCAGAGGTTGAACCAGCAGGTTGAACCTGCAGGTTGCAGAGGTTGAAGCAGCAGGTTGCAGAGGTTGAACCAGCAGGTTGCACAGGTTGAACCAGCAGGTTGCAGAGGTTGAACCAGCAGGTTGCAGAGGTTGAAGCAGCAGGTTGCAGAGGTTGAACCAGCAGGTTGCAGAGGTTTGGTGGGTTTGCGCGGTTTTGGGCGGGTGTGGTTGTGCTCTCTTGGCGCTTTTGGTCATTTCAACATTTCGATTCTGGATGGGGAAAGGGCCCAAAATGACACCGCAAGAATTGGGCCTGCGACCTCTCCCAAAACTACTACCAAGGTGCGCAACCTTGCCAAAAACTATCTGGCCATGGCCTAATGGGTAAGTGTCCGGCTCTAAAGCCTTCTTGGCAAAGGTCGTGGGCTCAATCCCCAGGGGCGTCGTTTGGGCCCTTTCCCCACCCGGAATCGAGATTTTGGGGTGGCCTGAAGCTTTGGGCTCTCTGGGGACTCTCTAGAGGGGACTGGGTGCACATCCGGCTTTCGTGGGGCAGGTTGCAGAGGTTGAACCAGCAGGTTGCAGAGGTTGCAGGTTGCAGAGGTTGAAGCAGCAGGTTGCAGAGGTTGAAGCAGCAGGTTGCAGAGGTTGAGCCAGCAGGTTGCAGAGGCTGAACCAGCAGGTTGCAGAGGTTGAAGCAGCAGGTTGCAGAGGTTGAAGCAGCAGGTTGCAGAGGTTGCAGAGGTTGAACCTGCAGGTTGCAGAGGTTGAAGCAGCAGGTTGCAGAGGTTGAACCTGCAGGTTGCCACATGTGCTCTTCTGCACTTGTGCAACCATGAAGCATTGCTATCATCAACAACAACATCATCATCATGTTCTTCATCATCATCATGTTCTTCTCCTGGACCATGATCATCGTCATCATTACCATCACCACCACTACCGCCATCTTCATCATAACAAGCATCACCGTAATCGTCATCATCATTTTCATCGTCATCATTTTCATCATTTAATTACTTGTAGAACCTGTGTTTCTAGGAATTGAGATAACAACACCCCCCTAATTATAAAAACATTTTCGAGTTTTTATTTAGGGCGAAGGGGGGGGGGGCCCGACCCTTTAATATTAGGGGGAAGGGATTATGAATGTTCGGGAGGAAAGTGTGGTGAACGACATTTAGAGTGGGGAATTTCCTGTTATTTTCCGTGCTTTGCGATCTAACATCCAGGGATTCAGGTTTCGGAACTTGCTGATCTGGAGGTGTCCGGCTTCAAAACGTAGAAGTGGAAATTAACATTTTGGAAAGTATTCCTGAACCCTCCTCCTTTCAAGTGGTGTAAACCGAAACTCAGAACTTCAACCAACACATTCTCGTTCACCATCGCAGTCCCTAGATCCGAATCCGCCAACTTCATACAGTAGAGGCCAAAGAGTTGAAACATCATTACCCTCATGCCGCTGAGGTAAAGCATAAGGGATCCTAGCACTAACCATCCCAGGCCCATGTTCTAACTTTCCAGGGTTCGCCCTCGCCGTACACTGACCTTGAATCCCAGAAAAAACCCTAAACGCTGAATCCTAAACCCAATATGGTAACCCTTGAAGCTCCAAACCTCATCTGCACACCTCGATCCCCCATCATGCCCTGGCTGA